GGGACTCGATCCCGGGACTCCAGGATCATGACCTGAGCCGAAGGCAGTCGCTTAACCATCTGAGCCACCCAGGCGCCCTCTCTCTTTTTTTTTTTTTTACTATGAAAACTTTTAAAGCTATGAACTTACTTTAATGATCTAGCAATGGCAATTTTAATTGTAGAATGCTGATAATTTTCTGATTTAAAATATAAGTGCTCTTATGAAAAATATAATGAAGAAAGTAAATGTCCTGTCAAATATTATACTGTTGCCAGTATTTCCTTTTCAGAAATTCTTAGAAGTAGATTTTTAAGTTACCTGCAATACTTTTATTGACTGTTTTAAATTGAATGTTAAGTTATTCCCATGAAATGTCCTGTTCTTTAACACTGACCTTGACCTGTGTGTGCTTTAAGATGGCATAGAATTTTTTTTTTTAAAAGATTTTATTTATTTTTTAGAGAGCGAGCGAGAGAGAAACAGCATGAGAGGGGGGAGGGTCAGAGGGAGAAGCAGGCTCCCCGCTGAGCTGGGAGCCCGATGTGGGACTCGATCCCGGGACTCTGGGATCATGACCTGAGCCGAAGGCAGTCGCTTAACCGACTGAGCCACCCAGGCGCCCCCAGAGATTTTTTTTTAGAAAGAAGTCATCCTACCTCTTTTTTTTTTTTTTAAAGATTTTATTTATTTATTTGACAGAGAGAGACACAGCGAGAGAGGAAACACCAGCAGGGGGAGTGGGAGAGGGAGAAGCAGGCTCCCCGCTGAGCCGGGAGCCCGATGTGGGACTCGATCCCAGGACCCCGGGATCATGACCCGAGCCGAAGGCAGACGCTTAACCATCTGAGCCACCCAGGCGCCCGGCATAGAATTTTTTTATTTAAATGTTGTAACTAGCCACCTGACTAATGAGGTATATAGCTATGTTAGGTGAATATTGATAATTTGCCTCTTTTTTTAAAGATTTTATTTGTTTGTCAGAGAGATAGAGATAGAGCAAAAGCAGGGGAAGTGGCAGGCAGAGGGAGAGGCAGGCTCCCCACTGAGCAAGGAGCCCAACGCAGGACTCGATCCCAGGACTCTGGGATCATGACCTGAGTCAAAGGCAGTCGCTTAACCGACTGAGCCACCCAGGCATCCCCATTTGGTACTAATTTAGACTTAAACTCTTACTTACCAGTTTTGTGCCTCTTGACTCCTTGCTCCTCTACTTATGTTGGAGGATCCTTTCCTTTTGCTTGAAGAACATTCATGTTTGCTGTAACACAGGTCTTCTGATGAAGAATTTTCTCTGCTTTTGCCTGAAAATGTCTTTATTTCAGTTCTATTTCTAAAGAATATTTTTGCTGACTATCCTATATAGGTTTATACTTATAATACTCTACAGAGTATCAAGAAATGGATGGTAATGAGAAATTAAATAAGACCCTGCTTATTATTTGCTTAGCGCAATGTTCTCAAAATCAAAGTGTATGTATCCTGGGATGTAAGAAGACTTTTGAAGAGGTAGATGGACATGCATGATTTAAAAGATAAATGGGGTGCCTGGGTGGCTCAGTTTGCTAAGCATCCAACTCTTGGTTTTGGCTCGGGTCGTGATCTCAGGGTCATGAGATTGAGCCCTGTGTTGGGTTCCGTGCTGTGCGTGGATCCTGCTTGGGATTCTCTCTTCCTTTCCCTTTTTGCCCCTCTCCTGCTTGCAGGTGCTTTCTGTTTCTCTGTAAGTAAGTAAATAAATCTATTTTAAAACATAAAATAAAAATGTGTACATTTTAACTATCTGTATGTCCTCTTTCCTAAAATGGACCCACCTGAGGAGTCCCCTGCCACTGGGCATCACACTCTTCTGGGTCTCTGTCCCACATTCCCTTTGACAGTCATACTACTTCTACTCTACAGAAGAAAGGTGTGCTTCCCAGACATTCTGAATGTCATGTTTTCTTGGCCCAGAGCACTTAATAAAAAAGACAGATCTTTGGGGCCTTGGTTTAAGGTGAATGCACAGCAACAGTGACAACATCTGGGCCTAAAGAGAAGGTACCACTCAGAGTAATTTGCTTTCCTTCCTGTAGGTGCTGGCTCCCCAGGACAAGAGGAATCAAGGGGAAAAGGAGGAAAGATTCCAAGACTTAGGTAACATCATTTCTGGGGAAACCCTTGATTGGAGACTGAGACTTTTGAACAGAAATTTGGAGCTGATCCAGAAGAGCTAAAGACAGAGCATCCAAGTTAGCAGCTATTTCCCAAAATCAGAAGAAGATGATCCAAGCCCAGGTGACTTTTGGTCTCTTTTATTCTTTCCTTTATTTCTCAGTGGATTAGTAGAGATCTATAAAAGAAAAATCGGCAATTAAAAGAAAAATTTAAATTGAGAATAGCAGGATCTGGAGAAATCTGGGCAAAGCAGAATCAGGAACCTATTTTTCATAGGATTCATACTTTGTGATTCATGTTGGAATGAATATATGTGACTGGGTAAGACCCTGTAGGTCACATCAGCTGTCAGTGTGCTGAAAATATCTCTGACAGTCATCACAAGGGAATCTTGGTAAGTTTCATGGTAGGCGGCATTACTGTGATCTGTTTCTGCTGCCAACACTTCTGACACCAAATGTGAGTTTTTCCACTCCAATGACCAGTTCTCCAACTCTCCAGATACTGCCTGTCTACAATTTGATTCAATCTTGACACTGACTACATGGAGTTACTATCATACTCAAGTTTAAAGGGCTCAGCCCTGCAAGACTGCCCTCATTTCAGAAGCTAAGTACTGAGGGCCCAGGGTGCCCATACTTCTGACTTGACTACAAATAGGCAGTTCCCACAGTCCCTTCGTTGGTTTTGATAATTCACTACAGTGACTGACATAACTCAGGAAAACACTTTACTTCACATTTACCAGTTTATTATAAAGGATAGAAGATTGGAACAGCCAAATGGAAGAGAGGCATAGAGCAAGGTATGGGAGAAGGGGCAAGGACCTTCCATGCCCTCTCCAAGCAAGCCACCCTCCCAGCACCTTGATGTGCTCGCCAACCTGGAAGTTCTCTGAGCCCTGTAGTGTAGTGTGGGTTTTTTTTTTTTTAATATTTTATTTATTTGAGAGAGAGAGCATATGCATGTGCGCAAGTGGGGGAGGGGACAGCGGGAGAGGGATAAGCAAACTCCCCACTGAGCGCAGAGCCTGATGCAGGGCTCATACCAGGACCCTGTGATCATGATCTGAGCCAAAGTCAGATACTTAAACCACTGAGCCACCCAAGTGGCTCTGGACTGTTGTGTTTTTTTTATGGAGGTTTCATCATGTAGGGGAGATTGATTAAATCACTGGCCATTAGTGATTGTCTCAATCTCCAGTCCCTCTCCCCACCCTGGACAGCTGGGATGGGGCTGAAAGTTCCAGCCCTGTAATCAGTAGGTTGGTTTCCTTAGTAACCAGCCACATCCTTGGGTTTATCTAGGGGCCCACCAGAGTTACCTCATTAATATAAATTCAGGTATGGTTGAAAGGGGCTTTTTATAAATAATGTAAGATGCCCCTCCCACCCCAACCACTTAGGAAATTCCAGGGCTTTAGGAGTTCTTGTGCAAGGAACCAGAGATGAATACCAAATACAAACTTCTTATTATATCGCAATATCACAGGCATTGACTGTGAGGAGAAAACAGACCAGTTCCTTGAGGGATGTTAATGTTTCATGGCACATAGGTCTGAAGTGCACATAGGTCTTTGATGGTTCTTCAGAGAGATGTTGTGGTGAGTGAGATCCTTAACTGCCCTTACTACTTAGAAATGTAAAAATGTATTTCTTATAGCTGTTGCTTCATTGTATCTATTGTGGTATTAACCCTGCCTAATTATATGCACACATACATATATATTTGTCTATGTACATATACGTGTCCATAAATATGTTCTTTATAGTTTTTTTTACAAATTTGTTTAATTATCTGTTAATCCTTTTGTTTTATACATGTTTTATACAGTTTCTTTTATTTTGTTTATTAAGCACTGAAATTAGTATGTATTGTCTTGTGACTATTACCTGCAGTCTCTTCATTACTAGTTTTGGTATTAGCTCAAATGCTCATGGTGAATTTAGAAATCTGTATTATTTGTTTGCTTATAAGTATTATATAGTTCAGTATTGGCAAGTAGATGCTCAAATATATATAGATTACACATATTCTTACACTAGGCAAGAGGATTTAGTGATACATATTACAGAAACTTTCTTAAATTTTCAAGTTTGTTGAATGAATAGAAGATTGCACAATGACATAATATTATACAAGATTTCTTCTATCACAATGTATCAAAGAATAAAAACCACCATTTCCTATATGGCAAAATGAGCAGAATAATTTCCTTTATCTCTTTTTTCCATATCATCACAAGAATATCACTTCATTAAACATAACTGTGTTATAACAGGAATCCCTGACATTTGATGATGTGGCTGTGGACTTCACCTGGGAGGAGTGGCAGCTCTTGGCCCCCGCTCAGAAGGACTTGTACCGGGACATGATGTTGGAAAATTATAGGAACCTGGTGTCAGTGGGTGAGGACAGCTCCCCTGTGTCACTCATGGGGTGCTCTGCCAGTGGCTCTTTCTATCTCAGCTAGTTAACTCTTTATTTATTTATTTTTAAAAAGATTTTATTTATTTATTTGACAGAGAGACACAGTGAGAGAGGGAACATAAGCAGGGGGAGTGGGAGAGGGAGAAGCAGGCTTCCTGCTGAGAAGGGAGCCCAATGCGGGGCTCCATCCCAGGACCCTGGGATCATGACCTGAACCGAAGGCAGTCACTTAACCAGCTGAGCCACCCAGGTGCCCCAAACTTAACTCTTTAATACTTTGAAATGGTAGATCCTCAGATCCTTCTCTTGCCTTAGACAAGTAGGTATAATGTCCCATCTTTTGAGAGAAAAGCCTTGATGTTACAGATTTGAAACCTATTTAGTCCCTAAAATGTAACATTATCCCTTCTTGATGTACCCCAGTCCACTAGGTCTTCTGTCTTTTCTCACGAACAGGGTGTCAAACCAGCAAACCAGATGCACTCTCCAAGTTGGAACGAGGAGAAGAACTTTGGATGATAGAAGATGAAATCCACAGCCGAATCTGCCCAGGTGAGTGAGAACTGCCAAGATGGGCGGCTGCAGTAGTATTCTGGTCAGTCAGAGAAGGCATCAGAACTGTGACAGTGTCTGAGGAAACGTAAACAGCCCCTCCCTGTATCTCTCTTCCCATATGAGAACTCTTTTTCTTTGTTGAAGTTTAGAGGAAAATATGCCCCTTTTTTTTCTTTTGAGATCGGATCCCTGTTTACTTTATATACTTCTTGTTTTTGTTTGCATAGTCATCTTCGTAGGATTTTCTTTTCTTTTTCTTATTATTTTTTAAAAAGATTTATTTCTTTTTAGAGAGAAAGCATGCGTGAGCATGGGGAGGGACAGAGGGGGAGGGAGAGAAAGAATCCTCAAGCAGACTTCTCGCTGAGTGCAGAGCCTGATGCAGGTCTCAATCCCACAGCCTGAGATCATGACCTGAGCCGAAATCAAGAGTTGGATGCTCAACCGACTGAGCCACCCAGGCACCCCCTTTTTAATTTTTTTAAGGATTTTTATTTTTAAGTAATCTGTATACCCAACAGGAGCCTTGAACTTACAACCCCAAGATCAAGAATTGCATGCTCCAGTGACTGAGCCAGCCAGGCTCCCCCTCCTAGAATTTTCTAATCTTCTTCTTCTTGATCCACTGTGACAGTGTTTTTACCTGTGTTACCACCTCTCCTGCTATGAAATTCCACTTTCCAGGCCTCTCTGGAAAGAAACAACTTTGACTTCATCACTTTTTTCTTACTACTTTGCTTGCCTACCTTACTAGGAAATAATGATTTCGTTCCATAATATCTAACCCCACCTTGGATGCTTTGTCTCCATGATAACCTGGTTTTTGCTGTGCGTTTATGTCGTTCTTTGGCTCCCCTCCCCCACTTTCCCACCAGAACCCTGGAGATTCTCCATACTTCTGTTTTCATTTTCTTCTCAGTTCTCGTAACTCTGAAAAGCTTCCTTTATTCCTGTGAATTAACCTTTTTCCTTTCTCTCAGACATCCAAATTGGCTTTTCTCTCTTTTTTTTTTTAAAGATTTTATTTATTTATTTGAGAGAGAGTGAGAGAGAGAGAGAACACAAGAGGGGGGAGCGGGAGAGGGAGAAGCAGACTTCCTGCTGAGCAGGGAGCCCGATGCGGGACTCGATCCTGGGACTCCAGGATCATGACCTGAGCCGAAGGCAGTCGCCTAACCAACTGAGCCACCCAGGCGCCCTTGGCTTTTCTCTTAATATTGCCTAATGCATGCTTTCTTTCTATGTATTTTACCCTTCTTCATGGCAGTTAGCCTATGACTTCCCATTTTGTGTGTGAGAACGGGAATTATCTTCTCTCCATCCTTTCTTTTTTAAATTTAGGTTCTTTTTCAGCTCAACACAACTACACATTTTAAATTTCTCCCTATCCTGGCATTACCTCATTACCTTGAATGTTCTCTACTTGCTGAGCTTTCTTCTTTTTGTGGGGTGGGGCGGGGTAGAGGGAGAGAGAATTTTAAATAGGCTCCACTGCCTGACACGGCTCAATATCACAACCCTGAGATCATGATCTGAGCGGAAATCAAGAGTTGGACACTTAACCAACTGAGCCATCCAGGTGCCCCTGAGCTCTTTTCTTAAAGGTCATTTGATTAACAAGAAAATATCTTTTTTTAACATGCTATATGATTTCCAGCCCAAACCATGTCATAACTTATGTCTGCTTCAAATTATTTTCTTCATGGTTTTGTTAATTCATATTTTCTTTTAGTTATTAGATGTTATCACTGCATTTATTTTCCTAAAGCTTTTGTTTTCACATGATTTTTTTTTTTGTGTAATTCAGTCAGTCATGCCCTGACACTGGCTGTGCTGATTTATTATTACTTTTCAATTTCTAAAGTGATGGCAAAATGGAATTTCCACTAATTTTTTAAGACTTGAGTCTGATTCTTTTTTTTCCTATTTAAGTATAATTAACATACAGTGTTATTAGTTTTGGGTATACAATATAATGATTCAACAATTCTATATATTTCTCTGTGCTCATCAAGATAAGTTGCTCTTAACTCCCCTTATCTATTTAACCCATCCTCCCACCCACTTCCCCTCTGGCAATTATCAGTTTGTTCTCTGTATTTAAGAATCTGCTTTTTTGTCTGTCTCTTTTTGCTTTGTGCACTTGTTTTGCTTCTTAAATTCCACATATGGGTAAAATCACAAGGTATTTGTCTTTCTCTGGCTGACATATTTCACTTAGTATTATATCCCCTAGGTCTGTTCATGTTGCAAATGGCAAGATTTCCTTCTTTTTTATGGCTGAGTAATATTCCATTGTATGTGTATACCACATCTTTTTTTTCCAAATTTTTATTTAAATTCTAGCTAATTAACATATAGTGTAATATTGGTTTCAGGAGTAGAATTTAGTGATTCATCACTTACATATAACACCCAGTGCTCATCACAACTACCCTCCTTAATACCCATCATCACCCAGTTAGGCCATCCCCCACCTCCCTCCATCAACCCTCAGTTTGTTCTCTATAGTTAAGAGTCTCTTATGGTTTGCTTCTGTCTTTTTTTTTTTTCCTTCCTGTGTGTTCATTTGTTTTGTTTCTTAAATTATACATATGAAATGAAATCCTATATTTGTTTTTTTTCTGACTGACTTATTTCACTTAGCATAATACACTCTAGCTCCATCCACATCATTGCAAAAGGCAAGATTTCATTCTTTTTGATGGCTGTGATACCACATCTTCTTTATCCATTCATGTCAGTGGGCATTTGGGCTCTTTCCATAGGTTAGCTATTGTTGATAATGCTGCTATAAACGTCAGGGTGCATGTGCCCCTTCAAATCTGTATTTTTTTATCTTTTGGGTAAATACCTAGTAGTTCAGTTGCTGTATCAGAGGGTAGTTCTATTTTTTAAAAAATATTTATTTATTTGAGAGAGAGCATGTGAGAGAGCACAAGCAGTGGAGAGGGAGAAGCAGGCTGCCCATTGAGCAGGGAGCCCAAGGCAGGGCTCGATCCCAGGACCCTGGGATCATGACCTGAGCTGAAAGCAGCCGATTAACTGACTGAGCCACCCAGGTGCCCCAGGGTAGTTCTATTTTTAACTATTTTTTTTTAAGATTTAATGTATTTGAAAGAGCGAGCACGAGTGAGGGGAGGCGCAGAGGGAGAAGGATAAGCAGACTCCCCGCAGAGCAGGGAGCCCAATGTGGGGGCTCGATCCCAGGACCCTGAGATCATGACCTGAGCCGAAGTCAGACACCTAACAGACTGAGCCACTCAGGTACCCCGACATGAAGGCATTTCTAAAACAGTTTTATGCCAAGCTAAGATTATGAGAGATTACAGAATTATTCATTGTTCTTTTCTCTCCTAGAAATCAGGAAAGTTGATGATCCTCTGCAGTGTCACTTGCAAAATCGAAGCATTCAGAAGAGTGTGGAACAATGCTGTGAACATAATACATTTGCAAATATTCTTAATCAGAGTGAAAGTCACTTCCTGTTAAAGCAAAATTATGATATGTTTGACTTATTTGAAAAACCTTTAAAATCAAATTTAAGTTTTGAAAGCCAGAGTATAAACTGTAACGCAAAGAACTCTACTGAGTTTAATGAAGATGGGAAATCCCTTCTGCATACTAATCATGAACAATTTTGTAGTGTAATAAAATTTCCTGTAAGTGTAAAACCCACCAGCAGTAATTCCCAGGTCATTAAGCAGCAGAGAACTACAAACATGCAGAAAGCCCATGTATGCTGTGAATGTAGGAAAGTCTTTGTCAAGGTGTCTCAGCTCATTGATCATCAGAGAGTTCATACTAGAGAGAAACCTCATGGATGCAGTCTGTGTGGGAAGGCATTCTCTAGAAAATCCAGGCTAACTGAACATCAGAGAATTCATACAGTACTGAAACATTATGAATGTACTGAATGTGACAAAACATTCCTCAAGAAATCACAGTTCAATATACACCAGAAAACGCATATGGGACAGAAGCCTTATACATGTAATGAATGTGGGAAAGCGTTCATCAAGAAGTGTCGGCTTATTTATCATCAGCGAACTCATACAGGAGAGAAGCCCCATGGATGCAGTCTATGTGAGAAAGCCTTCTCTACAAAGTTTAGTCTCACTACACATCAGAAAACTCATACAGGAGAGAAACCTTATATATGCAGTGAATGTGGAAAAGGCTTCATTGAGAAGAGGCGTCTTATTGCACATCATCGAACTCATACTGGTGAGAAACCTTTTATATGCAATGAGTGTGGGAAAGGTTTCACCTTGAAGAACAGTCTTATCACACATCAGCAAACTCATACAGAACAGAAATTGTATACATGCAGTGAATGTGGAAAAGGCTTTTCAATGAAGCACTGTCTCATCGTACATCAGCGAACTCATACAGGAGAGAAACCCTACACATGCAGTGAATGTGGAAAAGGCTTCACCTTGAAGAGTCCTCTTATCAGACATCAGCGAACCCATACAGGAGAGAAACCCTATGTATGTAGTGTATGTGGAAAAGGCTTTACCGTGAAGAGTGATCTCATTGTACATCAGCGAACTCATACTGCAGAGAAGCCATATATATGCAATGATTGTGGGAAAGGCTTCACTGTGAAGAGCCGTCTGATTGTACATCAACGCACTCATACAGGAGAGAAACCTTATGTATGCAGTGAATGTGGAAAAGGCTTTCCAGCAAAAATACGGCTGATTGGACATCAGCGAACTCATACTGGAGAGAAGCCCTATATATGCAGTGAATGTGGAAAAGGCTTCACAGAGAAGAGTCATCTCAATGTACATAGGCGCACTCATACAGGAGAGAAACCCTATATATGTAACGAATGTGGCAAAGGCTTAACTGGAAAGAGCATGCTCATTGCACATTTGCGAACTCATACTGGGGAGAAACCGTATATATGCAATGAATGTGGAAAGGGCTTCACCATGAAGAGTACTCTAGGTATACATCAGCAAACTCATTCTGGGGAGAAACCATACAAATGCAATGAATGTGATAAAGCCTTCAGGAAGAAGACCTGCCTCATACAACATCAGAGATTTCACACAGGAAAAACTTCCTTTGCATGTACTGAATGTGGAAAATTTTCTTTGCGTAAAAATGATCTCATTACCCATCAGAGAATTCACACAGGAGAGAAACCGTATGAATGCAGTGAATGTGGGAAAGCCTTCACTACAAAGTCAGGGCTCAATGTTCATCAAAGAAAACATACAGGAGAGAGGCCCTATGGATGCAGTGATTGTGGGAAAACTTTTGCCCACTTGTCAATCCTTGTTAAACATAAGAGAATTCACAGATAGTCACTTTCGGATAACCTGTTGCCAGTTGTAGTCCCTCAAGATAATAGTATGTAATGAAGAATAACAATGCAAAGAATAGTATTATCTTTAGTGATCAATTGTGTCATATTTTATGTTGATGAAAAAATTTACAAAACAACTCACAGTCAGCCTTGATGAAAATATTTTAGGACATTATACATCTAAAAAGTGTAGACTGAAATAGATTCTATGAATGTGACAGACTAGGAAAGCCGTCAGTGGGAATTAGACGCTATCATGTGATCATCACAGATAATGAATATTTTTTTTAAAATATTTTATTTATTTATTTGACAGAGATAGCTAGAGCAGGAACACAAGCAGGGGGAGTAGGAGAGGGAGAAGCAGGCTTCCCACTGAGCAGGGAGCCCGATGTGGGGCTCGATCCCAGCACCCTGGGATCATGACCTGAGCCGAAGGCAGACGCTTAACCAACTGAGCCACCCAGGCGCCCCTGAATGAATATTTCTAATTGGTAGAACTATAACTGTGGGAGAACCTTTGCCCAGAAGTAAGACCTCAATAGATGTCAGTTCACACTAGACAAGTACTTTCCGGTGGCAATAAATATAGTAGGGCTTGAAGTAATATATTTGCCAGGAAATCCATACAGAAATAACTTAGGAACACATTCAATGTGGTGGACTTCAGCAAAATAGCAGACAACTTAAAGGAAGGAAGCTTTGGGGAAATGATGAACGAGAGCATTCCGTCATGTCTAAAGATAATTAACGGATACATAATTAGGGATAATATGCCTCACAAGCATTCAGAACAGGATACTTCAGCTTTATTTCTGATTGCCTTGTCATTGGTTTTATAAATTTTAAATAGTGGCAGTTACTTTCACCATGGATTAAATTTTAATATGTACAATGCAGGAATGTTCCGTGCCTGTGTCGTTATATAATTAACTTTTGAATTTCTTTAGTTCCAAGTTTAATTGTTATTACAGAATACTTGAAGTACTTCAAATTAAGTAATATATTCATTTCATATGTATAACTCAGTGTATTTGGGTGTTTAGCCAAGTTTATAAGCAGCATCGATTTTGAATTTGAAATAAGTTTAGAATCATAAAAACTGGAATATTTCAGAGATTTCCTAAATGCCCTTCAGCCCGCTACTTCCAAAGGTAAAATTTTACATAACCAGAGTTCATTATCAAATAGAGGAAAGTGAAATTAGTATAATGCTTTTAACCACAGGACTTACTTGGATCTCACCAGTTTTAACTTGGACTCATTTTTGTATTTTACATATAGTTTTAAGAAACTTTATAACGTGTAGGTTTGTGTAACCAACACCACAGAATGTTTTGTCTACACAAACTCCCTCATGCAAACCCTTCATAGTCACATTTTTCTGTGAACCTAACGCCTGGCATCAGAGATTCTGTAAGTTTGTCATTTGTAGAATATGAGGAAAGTCGAATCATTTAGCACTTACTCTTTGAAGTTGGCTATTTGACCTTGTGAGATAATAGAAAATATATACATTGGTCTCTCTGCCCCTGGTTCCTGGCACACCCTCCTAAAACCCTTGTAAATTACTAAGTGATGAATGCACTAGGGGCATTTTTTATTCAAATGAGGCAACCCTGGGTGGGCTCCTGTATGGCTTCTGGATGGGGACTGGTCACCAGAGAGACTAAGCCATAGAAGCTTAGAACTTTCAGCCATGCCTTCCCTCCCCGCCTCCTCCCCCCCCAATCCTCCAGAAATGGGAGAAGGAAATTGAGTTAATAATTGATCAATTCTACCCGAGGAAGCCTCCATAAAATCCCCAATGGTAGGTGAACATACAGGTAGGTGAACACATCCAGATACATGGAGGGTAACATAACACAACTCCGTGGGGATAGAAGCTCCTGTGCTTGGGACCCTTCTAGGTCTCACCCTGTGTATGTCTTCGTCTGGCTGTTCACCTATATTCTTTATCATAGCCTTTAATAAACTGGTGTGAGTGTGAGCTGCTCTATCAAATTAATGGAACCAGAGGAGGGGAAGCTCCCACTTGTAGCCAAGTCAGAAAATGTAGGGAATGCGCAGACCTGCTGCTTGCCATTGGCATATGAAATGGGGAGAGGGGTACACTTTGTAGGACTGGGCCCTTCACCTGTGGGGTCTGACACTATCTCCACGTTGGCGGTGTCAGAATAGGGTTACATTGTAGGACACCCAGCTGGTGTCCTGGAAAATCGCTTGGTGTGTGGAAATCCCCACACGCATTTGGTGACCGGAAGTGTCCTGTGGCAGTTGTGTGAATAAAGGAGACGCACAGGAGGAGGACAGTTCAACGTAGATCAAGCGAGGAGCTCTCTGGGGTCTCCTCTGCTTTTGGGCACCGGACTTAACTGCAAACTGGCCGCACCCAAGTTCTTCCTGCCCAATGGCTCAGGGGAACCATCGACTTGCTGTTTTTCCCAAACTCATGGTTAGAATGCACCCCACGCCACATCGGGCTTAGAGAGGTTCCCGCCTCTGAAAGGTAGTTAGCTCTGCGCCCGTGACCATCTCCTGAGAAGAGAGGAAGGCCCCGGCTGCCCTCAAGACGGTTCCATTTCTTCCCGCCGAGGAGAGTGCTGGCAGCCAATGGCAGCTCCAGTCGGAAGCGCCAGACACGCTCTGCGAGGAAACGGTAGTCCCCTCACACCCGCGTGCTCACAGGCCCCGAGCAAGCCGAGCGCACTTCCGGAAGGGCCGCTGCGCGCCAGACGCGCTGCTCGCAGCCCTCGACGTCCCCGCGCTGGCGGGGAGGGCGCGGGGGGCAGCGCAGTCGGACGCCGTCCGGGGAGCCCTCAGAGGCGGGGGTCTGGTGCGCCTGACTGGGTGTGGGTCCCGAGTGAGGAGCCCAGCCGGTGAAGCGGGAACACGTGTGGGGACGTTTTCGTTGTTTGGGGTTTTATTTGGGGTCAGTCACCGAGAAATGCGGGCGTGAGTTAAGGCATGGTCTTCAGAGACTGATGATGAAGGGCCGACGGTCAGGGCCTGGGGCCTGTGCGTTGACTCAGCCTGGCTCGGTGACTGAAAACTAGGTGGCAGGTGCGGACCCATGATCACTGCCCCTCGGCTACCTTAGCGATTTCACCCGGGGCTTCTGACAGGGAGCAGCCTGTGGCGGTAGGGGCGGGAGTTTCCATGGACCAGAGCTCCTGGGCTGAACTTGAGATCGAATTTGAGATCAGTGTTGTTTGGGGAGTGCAGGGTTTGTCTGTGTTTGAGAACATAGGAGTCTGGAAGTTTTGACACCCATAGCCCCGGGCTAGTGGGTGTTTTGAGGCTCAACTTTTGGACGGTGGAAACATTTCCTTTCGGTTTTTCAAGTCCCTTCTCAAGGTTCTACAAAAATGTGAAGAAAAATTTGTCTCCTACATCCACTCTTCTCACTGTCCCCACAAAAACCGGAGTAGTTCACCATGATCAACTGGTTTGTCCATGAATAAAGAGAGGATTTTTAACTTATGGCCAAGTTTACCCGAATATTTCCTTTCAGGTTTGACACAAGTAAAAGCAACCATTTTCTTAAATTCTCCTCCTCAGTGAGAGCAATTTTGTTAAAAGAAATTTTTTAGATTAACTTTCCAAAAATTGGGGTCATCTACATTCAAGACTCTGCCTATCTTCTAACACGCTTGTATGTTTTTGCATTGTCTCTGGCAAATAGTAAGAGTCCCTCTTACTCCACCTTATCACCAGCATTTTTTTTTTTTTTTAAAGATTTTATTTATTTATTTGCGAAAGAGAGAATGAGAGACAGAGAACACGAGAGGGAGGAGGGTCAGAGGGAGAAGCAGACTCCCCGCTGAGCAGGGAGCCCGATGCGGGACTCGATCCCGGGACTCCAGGATCATGACCTGAGCCGAAGGCAGTCGCTTAACCGACTGAGCCACCCAGGCGCCCATCACCAGCATTTTATACTTTCAGTTTTTTTAAATTTTGGCGATTCCAATATCTGGGTACTTGTATCACACTGCAGTTTTTAATTTGTAATTTCCTAATAACGAATGATGTCGATCATCTTTTCATATGCTTGTTTGCCATCTGTCTTTGATCAAGTGCCTGTTCAAGGTCTTTGCCCATTTTTAAACTGAGTTTTCTTATTGTTGACTTTTAAGAATTCTTTCTGTGTTCTGGATATCAGTCCTTTATCAGATATATGACTTGTGTGATGAATGTATAGATTCTTTTTTTTTTTTTGCTTAGGAACATATTTGTGTTCCAGCATGATGTGTTGAAGTCTGTCCTTTCTCTGTTGAATAGCCTTTGTACCTTTGTCAAACAGTTGAGTATATTTGCTTTGTGTGGGTCTTTTTCTGCGATCTCCATTGATCTATGTGCTTATTTTTTCAACAATGCTATCAATACCAATACTTGAAATCTATTGATGTAAGCACTGTATGTATGATGGTTCTTTTTGGCCAGAATTGGTTTTGATATTTTCAGTGGAGAAAACTGGCACACATACCTTTACTAGGAGATCAACATTAAGTCATTTTGATATTTGGTACCCCTACCTATGATGTGATGAGAAAGGAACTTCAGTTCTGAGTGTCTTCCCAAAATGCATAACCCCTGTTTAATGAGGAAAACTTAGACCAACCCAAAAGATGGACAATATACAAAGTACCTGATCAGTACTCCTCAAAACAATTGAGAGATGAAAAAGAAAAGACTAATGAATGGTCACAGACATGAGGAAATCAAGGAAACATGTTTTCTAAATGCATTATTGTATTCTTGGGCAGAAAAAAGATAGTAGTGGAAAAACTTGTGAAATATGAATAGAATCTGTAATACAGTTGAGTATTATACAATGTTGTCTTCTTAATTTGACAAATGTACCATAATTATAAAAAGTGGTCACATGAGAGGAAGCTGAATAAGGTATATGTGAACTCTTTGTAGTATTTTGTGACTTTTATGTAAATCTAAGATTTTCTGAAAATAAAAAGTTTATTAAAAATAGATAAAACCTACATCAATTATATCTTAATAAAACTGGGAAAAATAGGTGTAACCAAATTTTATCAGTTAATTTCTCATTGTAAACATACTTCCATATTATAAAAAGTTTATGCATATCTATATATAATATTATTATGCAGCTGTAATAATATCATAGGTGAACTTGTAGGATGGTAACTAGAGTCACATAAAATGTATGCATTAAAGTAAGGTACACTTGAAGAACAAAATCTTCAATTATGTTCAGTTTCTATTTTGATCCTCTCATTATCCAAATTCTTACATTCTACTGCAAGATTTGTTGTAACTTTTTTCTTATATGTTCCAGACATCTCCATTTACTTTTACTCCTAGGTAGTTTATATTTTGCAATTATACTTGGTGTCTTTAAAAAAAAAAATCATACCCTATACATTTTGTAGTATGGTACAGCAATTCATTTTAACAGGTTTATTGTCAAAATGTACATATAACATTTACCATTAATGAGTGTACAATTCAATGACATTCACTAAGTTTATAGGCTTGTGCCACCATCACCACAAACCAATTTTTAGAAATTTTCATGACCACCAAAAGTAACTGGATGGTTGTTTTGTTATTGTTGAATTTTGACAATTCTTTTTTTTTTTTAAAGATTTTATTTATTTGTCAGAGAGAGTGAGCACAAGCAGGGGGAACAGCAGGCAGAGGGAGCAGGCTCCCCACTGAGCAATGAGCCCGATGTGGGACTCAATCCCAGGACCCTGAGATCATGACGTGAGCTGAAGGCAGACGCTTAACCTACTAAGCCACCCAGGGGTCCCAACAATTCTTTATATATTCTGAATACAAGTCCTTTATCAGATGTATAATGTGGAGATATTTTCTTCCAATTTCTGGCTCCACTCTTTACTTTTTAAATATTGTGCTTAGAAAGTACAAATGTTTAAAAGAAAAAAAAGTACAGATGTTTTTATTTTTATTTATTATTATTTTTTAAGTAGGCTCCATGCCCAATGTAGGGCCTGAACTCATGACTCTGAGATCAAGAGTCACATGGCCTACTGACTGAGCCAGCCAGGTATCCCAAATACAAACATTTTTAATTTTAACTAAGTCCAATTTAATACTTTTTCTTTTATGGCTCATCCATTACTGTCTTGTCTCAGAACTCGCTGGCTAACTTATTTGGTTTATGAACATTATCTCCAGTTTGCCTCTCTAAATTTCATACTGTTAACCCTTATATTTAGGTCTGGGAAATATCTTTAGTTAATTTTTGTATATGGTTAGAGTTAAGGGTCCTAATTTATTTTTCTGCAAATAGAAATACAATTATCCCAGCATTGTTTGTTGAAAAGACTAATCCCATTGAATCATCTTGGTACCTTGGGAGAAAAGCTATTGACCTTAATATTTTTGGACTGTCAATTGTGGTTGTACCTTTCTCATTGGCTCCAGACCCTTGATGGCCTCACTTTTTTTTTTTAAAGATGTTATTTATTTATTCATGAGAGACACAGAGAGAGAGAAGCAGAGGGAGAAGCAGGCTCCCAAGGAGCAGGGAGCCCAATGCGGGACTCGATCCCAGGACCCTGGGGTCATGACATGAGCCGAAGGCAGACGCTTAACCATCTGAGCCACCCAGGCGCCCGATGGCTTCACTTTTAGTGGCCTTTCCCTGAGGCCCCAATCCCAGTCCCAATGTAGGTTCGTCCCAGCTGCTCTTTCCTTCAGTTGGTGATGGCCAATCTCACACCCATGAGGGAAAGAAGCACAAAATCATTCACCTTTAGCCCAGAAGGCTGACCTGCACTGTTTCAGTAAGAGTCAAGTGTGTGCTGGTTCCAACATTCTTTTTTTTTTTTTTAAAGATTTTATTTATTTATTTATTTGACAGAGAGATAGACAGAAGAGCACAAGCAGAGGGAGTGGCAGAGGGAGAGGGAGAAGCAGGCTCTGCACTGAGCAGGGAGCCCGATGCGGGACTCGATCCCAGGACCCTGAGATCATGACCTGAGCCGAAGGCAGATGCTTAACCATCTGAGCCACCCAGGCGCCCTGGTTGCAACATTCTTTTTATTTATTTATTTGAGAGAGAGAATGAGATAGAGAGAGCATTAGATGGGGGAGGGTCAGAGGGAGAAGCAGACTCCCTGAAGGCAGCCCGATGCGGGACTCGATGCCAGGACTCCAGGATCATGACCTGAGCCGAAGGCAGTCGCTTAACCAACTGAGCCACCCAGGCGCCCCTGGTTGCAACATTCTTAAAGGGCCTCATGACTGCCTGTAAATGTCATCCATAGTTAATATCAAACTGAAAGATAGACACCAGCGAAATCTTGCAAATGTAGTTTTAGGAGTAGAAATTCAAAGAAAACATTAATGATCTAATACTCCCGGCATGTCCCCCCGTCCTTGAACACTAAGCATATAACCACCAGTTTCATACAGCAAAAGTGCAGCTCCTTCCACGGAGGGGTCCTGTCCCTGAGCTACTTAAACAAACTTACTAAGTTGCACCAGAGTACCTCTCAAGAATTCTTTCTTGACCACTGTGCTCAACAGTCCCGCAACAACACTGTACTAGTTGCCCCAAATCTTTCTGTTCTTAAAAACCGCTTCCTGCAAGCAATTTTTCACCACAAGCTTTCCGTGGGTGTCCGTTTACCGGATGTATTACTTTGTCTCTCCTGAAGTTCCTTCTCTGCTGCAGTATCCACACCTGAACTTCTATTGACTGTTTTGAAACTTCCTTTTTTAAAACATACAGAGTGGAGGGCGCCTGGGTGGCTCAGTTGGTTAAGCGACTGCCTTCGGCTCAGGTCATGATCCTGGAGTCCCGGGATCGAGTCCCGCATCGGGCTCCCTGCTCGGCGGGGAGTCTGCTTCTCCCTCTGGCCCTCCCCCCTCTCATGCTCTCTCTCTATCTCATTCTCTCTCAAATAAATAAAATCTTTATTAAAAAAAAAAAAAAGAAATATGGGGCGCCTGGGTGGCTCAGTTGGTTAAGCGACTGCCTTCGGCTCAGATCATGATCCTGGAGTCCCGGGATCGAGTCCCGCATCGGGCTCCCTGCTCGGCAGGGAGTCTGCTTCTCCCTCTGACCCTCCTCCCTCTCATGCTCTCTGTATCTCATTCTCTCTGTCTCAAATAAATAAATAAAATCTTTAAAAAAAAAAAATACAGAGTGGATAATATACACCCTGACCTTGTTACTTCCTGTCCGGCCCGCGAAAACGATTTAGCCCACACCATTTTTGCCTCCAAGAGCTCGAGTCTCTGGAAATCTACCCATTTTCCGCACCTGCCAACGTTGAGGATGAGATATGAAGGGCTTTTCACGATCCCGGCCATCCCTGGCTTGTGGCCGCAAACCCGCCCCTTTGCCTTGTGTAACGTCAGGTGTCCCAACATGGCCGCCCCCACAGCCACAACGAGCGGGCGCGGACATATTGCCTCCCTGGAAATACGGCGAACTGTGGCTCACCGTTCTTCAAAGGCTTCAGGTCCTCCTCGGCCGCCGTCGGCTGACGAAGAGTTGGGCGACGTTCCGAGGAGTAGAAGCAGTTCGCGGAAGTGTCACGTTTAGACTCTCCTTTTGGTCTGGAGAAAATCAGGTCCCTGTGTGCTTTTATCCCTTGAAGATTTTTCTGGGTTTTATTTACTGTTTTGTCCCGTAGGAGGTTTGTTTCTCACAGGGTGACGTGATGTCCACAGGGTGGAAGTGGAGTAAGGTGAGCCTGTGGAATTGGCGGGGATCGATTGGGCCGAGCGCCAAAGTAGAGGTATTTGAAAGGAACCAGCTGGGAGTCTGTGACTCACCTGTCTGTGGTTAGGGTACTTTGGGGGTGATTAAGACGGTTAAGGGTCTGTAGAGCTCAACCACTGTGTCCGCGCTGTCGAGAGGTTGGGGTTCTGCAGATCCGTCCGCTTGTCGGTGGTGCAGGCGATGTGCAGATGATCGCAGCGTCTGGTTCCGGTGGGAGATTTGATTTGGGGCCCAGTGATCTTGGGGCCCGGGTGGATGCTCATTACATCGGGGTGTCTGGCTCGGGTTTCGGATTAATAAGGGCGTGTGTAATCAGTGTCTGGTACAGAGAGATGCATGTGAGGGCTGAAGCTTTGGACGCCGAGGTGCGCGGGGCTGGAGTTTGGGTTGAGGTTCCAACCTCGGCTGTTGGGACAGAAGGCTGCAGAGCCCAGAACAGTAGTTCGAAACCCTCTGTTTTTTGGTTTGTTTTTAAAAGTCTTTTGTCCAGGGGTTAACTGCAGACCGAGGGACTAAACCGCCACCCCTCTCCCCCGTCTGTTAAGCGTCGTCTATGGCAGCTTTCCCGCGGAAAAGGAAGAACTGAGTCCTTGTGCCAGGGGTCTTAAAGTTGAAAATGTGTAATATCTATCCCTTTGCAGAAAATGTTTGTCAACGCCTGCACTCACCTCTTAATACACAGAAGCGGCGAACACCGGTGCTTCCTTGCCTGATATACATTCACACTTTATTCTTTGCTCACAGAATCTCCGTTTTGTTTCGTATCCGTCCCTCTTGTAAGGTGACCTATATCTCGGTTTATTAGTAAGTACTGGTTGGTCTTAGTCATTGATGGTGGTTCCAGTTCCCATTGCTAATGACTGAATTTCTGTGAAATGAGCTTAGGATATTATATGGTGCAGTTCTAGCCAGCTGTATGCGAAAATCTGCTTAGTGGTTTCTGGAGGAGCATTTCCTCTTTTATATTAGTTAATTCCTTGAATCTCTTTCTCCGTGTCCATGATGATATTGTCTGAGTATAACCTTAATTTTCATTCCAGTTGCCAATGTTTATAGTTTATTCTTATCTCAGTGTATTGAGTCCACTGAGCAATTAGGTGGTAGTGGACATACCTATGTGTCCAGTTGCTTACCCATAAAATTCACCTGCTATATTGTCTGGAGTTAACATGTTTCCAGGAGGTTTAGATCATAAAATGATTTCATCCAGCATTTCAAACTTAGTGACCCAAAAATGTTCATAGTATTTTTTTCAAGACAAAAAAATGTCTATTTTACCTGAGTTATCCGTTTCACTACAAATGGGTATGTTTTATTGGTATTTTTATTTTTTTATGTCTTTATTTTTTTAATTTAATTTAATTTTATAATGTTATGTTACTCACCATACAATACATCGTTCGTTTTTGATGTGGTGATCCATGATCCATTGTTTTCGTATAACACCCAGTGCTCCATGCAGTACTTGCCCTCCTTAATACCCATCACCGGGCTAACCCATCCCCCCACGCCCCTCCCCTCTAACACCTTCTGTTTCTCAGCGTCCGTAGTCTCTCATGGTGCATCTCTCCCTCCCATTTCCCACTCTTCATTTTTCCCTTCCTTCTCCTAATGTCCTCCATGCTATTCCTTATGTTCCACAAATAAGTGAAACCATATGATAATTGACTTTCTCTGCTT